TTCATTGGAAAAGATGTCTTCAAATAAGTATCGATCCTTAAAATTTATAAACATTTTTAAGAAGCGCTACTTAAACTCTTATGACTTAAAACAATTTTAAAAATTTATTCCTGTAACGTAACCATTGAAAAAGATGAAGGTGTTTTAAACGCATCTAGTTCTGCTTTTACGTGGTATTTAGTTTCTCGAGAAATGCCTGTAAAAATTTACAATACATATGCAGATTTTTTAGAAAATTTACCTCTAAATTAGTAAATCAAGGAAAAGAGTAAGTTGCTTTTAAACACATTTTATTAAATTATTAATTAAATATTACTTCTTATCATTTGAATATCATTTTAAATTTATAAATTTACCACACAGTGTTAACATCAAAGAAATTATACTTCATCAAGAAAGTAATTTTTTCGTGGAATTATACCAAAACAGAACGTTCAGATTTTACTCATTCCCAGCTCCTGTTGTGTGCCGAATGAAGTGGATTTTATAATTTTTATCTATTAAATGCATTATCGCATTAATTAGTTTTATCATATTTGTGTTAACCTGGAACCTGAAATTGGTATTTCGGAATTTGCTTAACATGAACTAAGGTTTTGATAACTGAAAGAGGAATTTCTGGTAACTTTCTGGAACAAAGCCAAACAATCTTTTTTATCTTAGATATGTTAATCTAGTATACTTATCTCGTTATGTATGATCTCCAAAATTTTAATATTCAAAAATGTATTCTTACAAACCCAAAACTACTCCAAAAATTTTGACTTCGAAAGACACCCTTCTGTTTAATAAAAATACATAAATTTTCACTGGAGAAAAATATTTTTAGTCCAAAGAAGGCTTTATCCCTTAGGAACTATTGTTTTCGCTTTGGCATTTTGCGTTGAAAACTTTAAGTCTGTATCACTTTTCGAATTGGGGCCCACCAGCGGCCGAGCGGTAAAGTCGCTGAACATGGTAGTTCGGTCCGAGGCTCGAATCCCGCGAACGGGCTGGCTGCATGGGTGTTTTCGTGGTTTTCCCCATGTGTAACGTGTATACAAGCCAGTTTCCCTTAGAAAGTCCTCCACGAAAGGCATCCCTCCTCTTAGGCAGGTAGCCCTAGTGTGCTTTGCCATAATTAAATACACCGACACCGACACACACCGACACTTTTCGAATTGTTGCCACTAAATGTTATCGCCCTGTATTATATTTAAAGAAATGAAATAATGAAGAATCTGCATAAATGTATCTATGTTTCTTGCATTGCGATAAAACAACGGTACCTAGAGCCATCAAAATTTGAATGAAGGATTTCAAAGCGAGCAATGGCAACATTGCACAGATAAAACATTTTTATCTCCAGTGCGTGAGACTGTGTATCGGAGATTCTAAAGATATGCTCAAATTAAAATTATTTTGTGATATTGCTCCTGAATTTTATGGTTTAAGTGCGAAGAACATGATATTTAATAAATAAAGGTAACACACAAAATGTTAAAAAAAGTTCCTTTGGACGTAATTTAAAATCTGAAACCTTTCAGATTTTTTTACAGTTTAAATTTAGATGGATATTTTTCTAAAGGTGCTATTTCTGCTACATTGAGCAGAAACGAAGCATATGGAAAAAGAACTGGACTTTTTTTCCAAATTTATTAAATTTAAAATGGCCCATCTAATTTTTTAAATGTTATAAATTCTTTTATGTAACTTAAATTAATATAGACATTAATGAAAACTACTTAAACCTCGAAAACAACTATTCAGCATGGGTTGGTAGATTGATTTTATGCCTTACTAAATAAAGTAAAATGTTATACTGACGTTTAATTGAACTTAGATCAACACATTGGCTACCACATTACCATTACTATGGCACTTAGTAAGTGATAATGCTTTATAAATATGCAGTGTCTATAGAGAAACATTTATACACGCATTAAACTCCAGTTCATTTACTGGGCTTAATGAATGGTTATTTCCTTAAGCGGTGTCTATTTGCTCACTAAGCACTTAAACGTCGATAGGAATGTGGATCTAATTTTGTTTAGAAGGTTAATTCTAATTACCCTAATAAAAAATACATTTCAGATAACTCCAAGCATGTTATTCCCAAACTATGAATCATTGCCATTTCCTGTAAACTAATTTATTTACTTGCCGCAATATAAGTTACAAGTGCCCTTCGCTGTTGTAAACAAGGTCTATGACGTCATTTCTCTTCAGTCTAAAATTTAAAACCTGCTTACCAGCACGCCGAAAACTCCAACATTACACAAGAGGACCCTCAATTATGGTATCAGTATTTCTGTAAAAGATAGTCAAAAGCAAGCCCTGCTTAATAATATAATGAATGCTGTCTAAGCTTGCAAATAAATTCTTGTGATGTAGCATTTCTTGCTACGCTCCGCAAATCCTTCGACGTTAACAATTTTAAGACAATATTTAACAAAATTTTACTATGCGTATCTTTAGGGAAAACTGTTTGCTTGGAGAAATTATTTTAAGGATTTCGCATATGGAATTTCTTAAGAAATATGCATGCGAATTTCGTCTTATGTTTAAACATTTTTTTAAGTTGCTGGAGTATGTTTTGTTACGAATAGCGTAATTGCATTCTGAAGTGAATTATTTTATTTCCGAAAATATATTTTATGTTATTTATTTTTATACGATTATAAAAATTTGTATTCCTTTAAAACTCTTATATATTTGGAATTGAATTGTTTAAATTAAATTACTATATAAATTTTAATTATTTTACAGAAGAACTGTATTTTGTGAATAAATATCATGTAATTCCAAGTATTCGATTTCGAACTTAGCGAGCTAGCTGTGTAATTTTTGTTTCCTTTCATGTGTGCTATTAAAAAGTAAATTTTCCTTTTAATATATTCCACTAAATCATCCCTTATCGCTTGTAATATGTAATATTACACGAGATAGGTATTTTAATGCTAGCTGAAACTGTGTCGGTATTTTTAGGTTCTTTTCAGTATTTTCAGTCTTCTGCGTATTAGGAAAATTGGATTCCGTTTTAATAAATAAATTGTATTCCATTATAATATATAAAAAGCGTTTTTTGTATTTGCTCCCAAATGTTATAAAGTGGATAAAAACCTCTAAACATAGAAACTTTCACACTCTTTTAAACCCCATGAAAGAATCAAACTAGTTTTAACTCTGTGAGCAACACAAAAGGTATTTTTAATAGAACTAATGCGTTGTAAGTTCTATATGCTATGAATATATATGCTATGGCGAAAGATATGAAATGGTGCAGTGGCGTCATCTGTATTCGGTTGTTGGGAACAACAGCTGCTGGGGAAAGTTGTTTCGACTTATGTGTTGGTAGATGGCACCAGCAAAGATCGATGCTTATTAAAACGTTCCACTAATGTTAAGGCCAGATCCTCTGTGACCTCGAATCGAGCAATTAAACCCCCCCCCAAAAAAAATGCACTTTTAATTCCAACACCGAGGAAACTACTTCTTTTGTGGAGAGTGAGGTCTCTACAAAGCCCTTCCCGAAGTTCTTTTCTTTGATGAGTATGATATTTTTGCTAGACAAGGTATTGTAGCGCAAACTACCCTGTTGAGCTAATGGTCGCAGTTTGAACCCCAGGTCTGTTTGTGCGCGTATGTTTGTTTGGCCATTAAGTTGCAGTGCGAAACGAGATCCTCTAGTCGAAGTTTCTGTGACACAATTGTTTGCCTGTCTTTACTAGTAGCAGTACTGCCATTCACGTCCGTGTCATCATTTTGGTGAAGAAGTGAATTCTATGACGGCGGACTTTGTTCGGTGTATTATGCTGATGTGAACAACTGTTAGATGGGAACGCTGTTTGGTTCTGTTAATGAAAATGTCTGTCCATAAATGGTACCATGATGGTCGATATCTATTCCTGCTTTGCAAATGTCAAGGCTTGAGCTGTATTCAGAAAAGTAATCTTGCAGTGACGACTCAAATGATTAAGCCGAGAGTGTGCTCCCAAACTGAAAGCGCTAAAAAACAATATTTTAGCGGTTAGTGAAGTCGTTTCAATACCATTAAAACAGTTATCTGGCCTAATGTGTATCTAAGAATGCGTAATTTAGGTGGTTACCACCAGCAAATAGCATTATTTTGAGTTTCCGGAGAGAGCTTTTAATTTTTGCAGATACTATTCTGTACAATACTAACAGGTATGTGCTGCTAATTTAAAAACAAAAAATTGTGAGAACTGTATTATGCAAAGTGGTTATCATCTCGGCTGTGTTTTCATGAACTGATGCTTATTTCCTGCAGAACGAATTTCAGTTTCTACTGAAATATTTCCCTGTCTTATGCCCTGTGAAGTCACATATGATATCGGTTAGTCTAAATCATCCAAAAGAATTCATTGACGAGAGACGGGGGGAGGAATCTTTCTGTAGAAACAGTGATTTTTCGTAATTTTCGGTACGTGGTAATGTATTATCATCCACTTTTTAGAGCAATATATAAGAAAGATACTTCTCTTCACTAAGGTAGATAGATCATACATAGCTGTAATTAATTTTATAGTACATTTTTGTATTTTTTAAGCTAGGAGATTTCATCTTCGTATTGAATGGATTAATTCATCTTCTTATCGAATGGATTTCTCAAACTCTCGAAACTTAAATAAATAAAGTATATGAAGGTGGAGAACATTTTCCCGTTTTCCCTCATTAAATATCTTTTTTCTGATGTAGGTTCAGTGTAATGAAAGACCTTCATATCTTCTCATTAAAAGAATTCATTTATTATTTTCTTCAAAAATTATTATATTCAAAATTCCAAAGCTGAAATTTTAAACTATTCGATGTTCATTATCATTCTTGAAGTAAAGGATACATTTTCCTAAGCAACTGAACATAAAAATACTACACTTTAATAAAATATGCAGAGAAATATGAGGCAATGGACATATGACATTGTACATGAAATGTTTAAAATTTCCATTAAATGATTTTTTTTCTGTGAAAATAATTCATTTCTTCTTGTTTCCTTTCAGGTGAAGGTCTGCACGTGCTACTTACCAATCAATCCGAAGAACTATCCCAAGCCATGGACCTGGCGTCCAAAGGCAAACTCCTCGGGAAAAGAAAAACGCTATCTAGGAAAAACTCTGGTAATTGAATATACGTTCCCTATAACGCACTGGCTCCTCTGCGAGTTCAAATTGAATTGTTCTCTGCGGCAGTAGATTTTGAAACCGAATTTGATAACCCGGCCTATGAAATTCAACTTCCACGAAGTCCCATGAGCGATATCGCCTTTTGTGTTCCTGTATATTATTGTTTTTTACATCATTTGAAACGTAATATCTTCTGTGGACTAAGAACTTATAAAAGCCTTTGTAATTTCCCCAGCGTGTTTTTTCGTGGCTGGAAATTTTTCATTTGGGCTCGTTATAGTTGGAAAATAAATGGCGGGAAAGAAATCAGTTGTTTTCCTGTTTTAAATGTATTACGTGTTCTTTTTTATAATTGTTAAAAGTCATTTACTTTCATGATGAATTCCTATCTCTAATGTTAGTTATATAAAAGCACAATCTACTTTTGCTTTATTTGTAGTTTTATTGTTAGAAAGATATTTAAAATGTGCATTTTTATCTGCGGAAGAATATTTAGAAAAGTATGTAATGGATTTAAACTACTTATAAATTTTGATTCAATAACTTTGATGATAAATTGTTACTAGAGACTATGAAATGTTTAAAGTTAATAAAATATATACATATATATAACTTAGAAAGTAATGAAATAAAATCTTTATTATTGTGTAAATATATTCAACTAATCTATATAAAATAGTAAGGCCTTGGTATAAATTGTTTTTGTAATAATCACCATAGGTGTCTAAACATGATAGCCAATGATATACCTAAGCAACTCTGTTTAAGTAAAAGAGATTAGAAGCAAATGCATGAAGGCACACCATGAGGTTTGCTGAGTTTTCTTGTTGGCTATGTTTTACCTGGAATCTCTTTAATAATCCGAGGAAACGAGATAAGGTGCTAGATCATGTCTTTAGGGAGGTTGGTTCACTAGTTCTTATTCTAAGCGTCGTAAACGTTCAACAAGCAGATAACCAAGTATAGTCTGGCATTATTTCTCTTGTATGTGCCTATTCATAGTAAAACGCTAATTTGTAGTATTAGTAGTTAATAGGAATTGTTGCACAATAGATGGCAGAATCTGTCATTTCTTCATTGGTGAAGTAACCGATAAAATGTGCGTCCATATAGTCTAAATGAATTTTTTAAAGGTGTAAATAAATTGCAGTTGCATATCATGAATGTTTGCTTCGTCTTCCGTATCATGTAATGCGTTCATGTTTCAGTATTTATAAAAGTAGTAAAAGTACTGTCTAAACGTACTATGCAGAAAGTGCATTTTTAGCTTCTACTTCACGGAATTCATGAAAGGCAATCCAGTTTTAAAGACTTTCCAATCTTGCAGGAATCTCCTCAGTATCCGACGTGAACATGTTTTACTGGACTGTGTACATTATGTATGATATCGTGCACAATTCCCATTAAGATTGTCCTATTCAATAGCAGTATCAACCAGCTCGAATACGCCGATCTTCCTGAAGTGCATCAGTGGCAAGACTAGATACGTTGTTCTAACCTGAATTCGAGCTCGAGAAATCCTTTCCGTGTGAAAGATAATCCTCGATAGTCGTTTTATTCTTGAGATAAACAATAAACAAAAAAAATCATTTTGAATCATTAAACGATAAACAAAATGGACATTTTGACTACGGAGGTTGCTACTTATCTTGAAGGTCTGTATCTACGTATCTTGAAGGTTGCTACTTATCTTGAAGGTATCGTTATCAAACCCAGCGTACAAAACTATGCTTGTTTTTGTGACATAATACCCTATAAGTCTGAAAGCTGGCGATTAATGCCTTTTAGACACAGAAATCTCATCACTCTCCGCGATGAAATGTTGAAGCATGATTTTTTATGTGCAGTCAATTCCTGACTGTACGTATTGGATTTTGAAGCGCACTCCTGATTCAAAGTATATGTTTTTGAAGCTTCTAAAAAACTTGGTCCAATCGGTACAGTAAAGAGGGGGTCACATTATCTGATAAAAATATCTGATAAAATATATATTATCTGATAAAAATATGCATATCCTCATGCACAAAATTTATTATTTATTAACAACCAAGTATTTATCAACGAATTTCTTAATATGTATTACTTTATATATTAATACGTATTATATATGTGAAAAAAATTCATTTGCCTTTTAATACAAAAGATATAATTGCAAAATTTTAATAAAGTGCTTTGTAAATGTATTTAAAAATATTTATATCAAACTAGATACAAATGTGCCGTTTTCTGAATGGTTAGACACTTTTATGTAGCTTGATAAATGGGATAGCAACTGCAAAGAGTATATACAAGATGCTCGTCTTAAATTTTTGTTCTTATATTACTTTTCTATGTCTCATGCGGGAAAATAATAGCTTAAAAAGATGCTTACTTTCAAAAGGAGATGTCTTAACTGGTTTCTGGTGGTGTAATTTTTATTTTTGGTAGGTGTATAATTCACAAAATTCCCATTAACCCTTTGGCCTATAACCACGAGTCTGACTCGTGGTAAAGAATTTGTGTCATAAACAAAAGCCACGAGTCTGACTCGTGGTAAGGAATTTGTGCATAAAATTCCGCTTGTTATTATTAGAACAAGCGTTTGGAGTTATTCTACATCGAATATTTTTCCTTTGATTGTAACGTCAGTATTTCGTTTTTTCAGTTGTTTCTGACGAAACTGGATGATCTGTTATTTTAGTTCCCCCGTAAAGCTCGTTACGGTCACACGTTTCAATTATAATTTAGTATAAAGAATTAAAAAAACTCTTATACCCATCATGCAATTATTTCTGTCAACTGATCAATTGATTATGATTACACCCTAAACGTCTTAAAATTGCTATTTGTACCAAAACATTGTTTATTATTTCACAGTTCCTTTCGTTACACTCAAATATATATATCATGAAAAATATACATTTTGCGCCAGTTCGGGTACAAGGCTGGACAGTTGAATGGCACGGCGCGCGACCGACTTTCTTGTTTCCTATAGCTCGCGCAATTGGCATATATCGTGTAGGCTAAGTGGTTAAGTTGATTTTAGTTACGTTGCTTGTATTTCTACAACTATGCACATTGTAGCTACTTTGGCAAGAGCATAGATTACTTTTATGTTAACTAAGAATAGAGTATAATTATATATTCAATATTTTTTGATAAAATGGCAGTAAATGCCGCTTTATGTTTGCTGTTTATATGAGTTATGCCGACAGAATTCAAAAGTGAATTAAGTTGTTGATCTTAATGAGATAATGGTATAATTTCAGTTTAATTTTGAATTCTGTTATGCTTTGAAATATCATTTAAAAATTATTTACGTCTTAAAGAATCATGCTGAGGTCAATTTTATCAACTATAATATCCATTAAAATCAGTCAACAAGTTCTTATTTACAAACTCAACTTCTTATGCGCGTACCGTTGCCTTAGTTTTTCAATTGCTAACGCAATTATACGAAAGTATTTTGTGGGACGTTTGAGGCATTCAGAGATTATACAGCCTGTTTAAAAGAAATGCTTTGTTCACCGAAATATGCTAACAATTTACCTGTAATCTGCTCATTGAGTGTGGTGATTATTAATGTTTTAAACGTTTGGTATTTTATTTTTAAACTGCTAAATATCATATCTCTTCGGTCATTACAGTTCTTGAATCGTCAACACGATATCCTCTTCACAAAAGAACCCACCACGATGCTAGCAAGAGTACAGGAGGAGATTCGAGTCGTCAGCTCCTGAGTTCAGGGTCTGAGGGCAGTACCTGTGACGCCTGTTCAGAAATTCTTAGATCAGCGGACTCATGCGGTGATGATATGCTGGTGTATAATTCTAGTAGTGCTTCCATGAAAGCTTCATCATGTAGGATTCATTATAGGTGGCCCTCATGTCTGTCAAGGTAAGTAAGAAAATCTGTAAGAATAACGTATTAAAGAACACGTATATAATCTGAAAACCGTGTATCTCTCAATATGAAATGCAGAATGTCCTAAATATTCTAAAAATTTTTACCTGTCTTGCTTTGTTTCCGTTCAGACAGAGGCTTCTTGCATTCGCTGCCAGAACTACTGTAAATTTTTTATTCAACTGGGCATAGTCAAGAATATACCAATAGAGCTGCTTCTGCAGTTGTAGAAACCAAAACGTTTGTATAATTTATTGCAATTTATCTTGCATTTTCCAAAGGATCCATCCATCTGTGTTTCTTCGTGTTGGACAAACACTTTTATACTTCAAGTCATTTGTGGCATTCATTCGAGCATTTCAGGGGAAGTCTGCCGTGTTGTGTGCTCCATTTGTTCGGTGGTTGCATGACGCAAGTCAGCAGTTTGCCTTTGGATATCACCCTTTTAAGGCGTTATTTAGTTTAGTGGCCCAGTGTACGAAGAGGCAGTGAAATTGTATTGAAGATGTTGCCCAGCCGTATATCCATTCAGCGTATAAGAAATTTTTCATGTAACAAGTCATATATGTGAAAGGAAAAGGGCGCTAAAATTTTTCTGCATCGCACCTGTACACTCATTGCCCTCTTTTTCAATTCATCCAGTATTTCGCTTTTGTAAATTTAATACAGCATTTCAAGTTGTATCAAAAGCATAAAGTTCGAATATATAGTATGTCTTCATGCCTAACAAGTCATCATATATGAGGGAATGTGTAGTGCTCGCATAATTACAGTTCCATATAATTACTTCAAAACAGTTTGTTGATATAATATAAACGTGTTAAGACTTCGGAGAAGAAGTGTACAAAGTTGTTGTTCCCTTAAATTTGGTTTTGGGTTTCGTAATTTGTAATTAAATGCCGTGCCATACATGAAAGTTTCATTGAAGTAATGTGTTTTTCCAGTGTGTTTTACTTGAAAAAAGGTGCTTCTAGAAAAAGAGATGAACTTACATGATGCCCATATAAAATCGGTCTAATTTTCTTAGTTAACGAGTTTGTGTTTTCTTATTGCAACATCTACCCCTAAATTTTAGTTTTAATTTCCGTTTTCAAAACGCGTGGATCACAGTATCACTTTCTCTTTTAACCTTACTCTATATAATGTTTCTTTATCTACATAGATTACTTTTACAAACTACCTTGTGTCTATTATTAAAAAAAATTATGCAATAGACGATTAAGAAATGGAATCAAACTCCCTGCTTATTTTATAAGAGTTAATATATTTATATTTTTGTAGCCTTGTTTAAAGCTTAATGTTTTATGAATTATTTGTAATTGTATTCATCGTATATTGCTTGAAAGAAAATACATCGATATTTAAAATTAATTTAGGGGATAATCGTTTTTAAAAACGAAGATTTTTCATTAAAATTCATTTCCTATTAAGAAATTATCCAGATATTTTAACTTGTTTAAGATAAAAAATGATTACTTTATATAAAAAGACGAACTTTAAAATTAAAACCTACCCACTAATAAATCGTTGTGCATTTATCTTTAAAATCTGAACATTAATTATTTCAAGGAAAATTAAGTATTCTTTTAATTCATAACGAAACCTGAGTACCCTCCGTAATATATCTAACGTGCCTGTATAATATATGCGTGAAATTTAATTCAATATATATTATAAAATATTATTTTTACAATTTTTATTTTTATAAGTTTTGATAGTTTTTCTCTCAAAGATGAATGAAAAATTAGCTGAGCCCTCTTAAATTTTAGGTTCTGCAAAGCCTTTTGTGATAATAATTGATGATAAAGTATAATAAATGCATGATGTGGTGCAAATAACATGTATGCATAAACCATGGTAATGTAAATGTTACTAAAATAACTGTAAATTGATATCTAGAAACTGCTTTTGAGGGAAGAATTTAAAACTTGTTCTGCTACCTAAATAGTAGAACTTTATAACGTGATAAGTAAAACATTTCATAGCTGTTACAGAAGCAGCTCTGAAACTGGCCTATATATTTGAGAGCTGAATTAAATAATAAATCTCGGAAAACATCACCACTGGTGATGTTTTTCGAGATCACAAGTGTCCAAAAATGCTAAACTAGCTGCAGCCGTCAATGTTTATCTTGGTCATGTTTTCACTGTATTTACATGCACACTGGTCAGCTATTGTAATCCTATTAATACCTTGTTGCTCCAACTATGGTATGCAAACCAGCTGCGACTAGCTTGTCAAGGCATGAATTCCAAAAGTCTTTGATAAATGTCAAGAGAAAGATTGAATCAGGTTTGCAAGCAGAGGTCACGTAATTCTCGTAGATGATGAAGTGGCTGGTGAGCTCTGAGCTAGTGCTGTAGGTCAAGACATCAAGTGGAATTCATCAGCATATACCTCAAACCACTGTCGCACAATTTCATTCTTGTGACAAGAAGCGTTGTCTTGTTAGAAGAATCCATTTTCTGTGAGGTAGACAGAAACCATGGAAGAACAGTGAAAACAGATGTATACGTGTCTGTCAAATGTTCGCCTTACGTACAACACCGAAATAACACCTCTGTTAGACCACAAGTGCTTGAGGTATTGCTAGTTCAGCTTCTATCCCAGTTTTCAAAGAGAACAACCCTTTGGGAATCCTGAGGATCTCCCACTTCCTCTTCCCCTAGCATCAACTTCTCTTTAGGACTTTCGTCTGGCCTTTTACTGAATATCTACTAGCCTCTCAGACACTATACTCTTAAAAGTATCTCTGACTTCTCAGAGATTCGAACCCTAGCCCATCGTTACGGCAGTCAGCGTCGCTAACCATTACACCAGCTAGGCGCCCGTACCCTGATACATACATTGGCATGATATAAAACAAAATCTTGGTTTATCCGATCAGGAAATTCTTCTCGATTATTGCATGGACGAATCGTGATAGTGGCAGTTTAGTGTAGACATAAACATTAATGATGATAGGTTGACAGAAACCTGTGGGAAGAGCATCTGCTGCAGAATACCTTCAGCAAAGTCTGATGAACTGCATTCTCCAATGCACTAGTTTGTATAAATATTACTTAATTATGATTACAAAGGAAAACATTTAATGTAAAACTTTAATTAACTTTCTGGGTTTATATATCTGGAAAATTTTTCTAAAGAACTTCGAAAACTCTTACATGGAAACTTGAAATACAACGACTGCCAAATTTGTTGTACAGGGGATGTTGTAGATTCTATCGTTATTATATTAGATAAGCGAACCCGCTCTTTTATGGGATCAGATCAGATCAGAGCTGTTTGCTCACTGAAATGAATCTGTTAATTTCATGACTCACGGCTTACTAACAATAACCTCGATGAAAATACTCGATCTGAAACGATGAGTGAATCAAGAACAGTTAGCGAAGATGGAGCTAAAGGTGGGAAAAATCGAACGAGTAGCAAGATCGGAATCGGTTTGTGAGACTGGAACGAAGAGCCAAAGGAATCGAGGTAGCCGTGGGATCATAAAATTCGGTTCAATCAAATGCTGACTCCATTTGTATCATTTTTACCACGGAGATGGTTGTTATACATTTAGTCCTTTCATACATAGGTAAACAATACAGGAAAAATTTATTGTTTTATGCAGACTCACTGAGCGTGGTAAAAGCACTAGAATCGCATTTAGATAATAGAGATTCGTGAACCGTAGAAGTGTTAAAATATATTGTCAGTTTTAGAGTCAAAATGTCATCAGATGCTTTATTGCTGTATATTAAATTATGCTTAGATAAAAGAGGTGGAATTGGGGAGAATTGAGAGCGAATTGGTGGGGTTCGCTGCAAAATATGCCTGTGAAACATCCATCTGATCGGCCCACTATTCAGATATCAATAGAATGATGGGAGTGAAAAATCTAATGAAATGGCACAGGCACTGTGATGTACAAATGAGCAATAAAATTAAGAACTAAATAAAACGAAAAGTGGAATATTGCAAGTGTGCCTTAAATCATAAGGAGTAAGTTCTTGGGACACGGATAAAAGTAGGTCACTCATAACTGGTTAAATGAGACTTGCTCAGCGCAATACTATTCTAAATATTAAACATATTTTAATTTATTGTCCTGTTTTTGGCTTTCGAGATTTATATTTTTATAACTGCGAGATTTTTATTTGGAGGAAAGTCCCATGGTAACATTTTGAACTTTTTAAAAGCTATAAAACTTTGTCAATTTCTCTGAACGCATTTAACTTTATTTGTGCGCGTTTGGGAAGTGTAACCAGATACTAATTATATAGATATTTTCAAAATGCATTACAACATAGTTTGAAGATGAATCTTTGGAAATCTTATTCCTACACTATACAGGTTTCATCTGTATTTAATAGTTTTTTGTGACCTCGATGTTGTTTGATTTTACTGTAATTTTCGATAATTTTATACTTATATGTAAATTTATGTTTAATATGTACTTGCGAGTGTATACTAACTTGGAAAGCGTGTCTTTGTCTTTTATCATCTTAACCTTTGAAAATACACAACATGTGTCTGTCGCAGCTAAAGCTCTTTGGTTCTGTGCGAAAACAGAAAACGAATTAACCAACCAATCATTTTAGTTCAGCTTTTCATCCACTGTACCAGGTTTTGGTAAGTTTAAAAACACATAGATTATAATGTATCATTAATTTTTTATAATTTTTCTATATTATAGTATATTAATCGAACTAAGGAGCTTGTGTTTTATTCAAATGAAGAACAAACTAATTGTCATCACACTCATGTTTCCTTCCAATATTCACCTACCTTTTGTTTTTTAATCTAACTTAAAATGTAAGCGTCTTTTATTCGAAGGGTTTATTCTCGAGTAATTAAATTTGTAACAATATTTCAATATGTGGATGATTTGAAATCAGTTTACCGCGCTTATATGGTAACGAAAGTTTCAATCCTAACTTTAATCTACATAAAAGTTAATCTGTTTTGAGAAATGCAGCTTTCATATCAGTTTCGATGTAAATTTTAGTTATAGTTTTATCTATTCATGTTTAGGTATTTTAGTGCTCATCATATTTTTTTTTACCTTTCAGATGGGGTCAGAGCTCTACAACTGCAAGTGATGTAGAAAGTGCAGATACTATGTCTGTCACTCTAAGTGATTTCCAGGGATCGTCACAATCAGCCACGATATCAAAGACTAGTGGGCATGGACAGTCTCTTTCGTGTCTTTGTGATAGTCAGGGAACATGGTAAGTTAAGGTTTCCTTAAATTCGCGAATAATTTTTCTTTCGGGGCTTAGACTTTCTCCTTTGCATTAGTTCTTAGATTGTCTTCCTTAGATATATATAATACTATAATTCATTTTACAGGCCTTTTAATCAGTGTTCTAAATGCGGCAGACATTTCTACAGTCGTAACAGTTTACAAAATTGTCGAAATAAGCAACCCCCTTCACCAGAAAATCCAGTAAAAGACTCTGCCAATGGTTTTAGCCCCCAGTGGACAATGGATTCGTTGGTGGGTTCTTCTTCCGATACTCAGCAATCTAGAAAAGATTCCGCCTATCAGTTGATGAATCCACCTTCTGACAGGGCTTCGCTCTGTTCTCATGCTAGTCACAGCAGCAGTGCAAGCGCTGCCAGTAGCAGTGGATCAGAATACTCTGTGCCGCGGAATTATTTAGAGACATTATATGACAGGTAAGATCGTCAAGGACTAGAATACAACGAACATATGTTTCAATTATTTGCATTATGAGTGAAAAGTTTAAGATGAGTAAAATACAACTGTTTATTGAAAATATATTTATACTTTTTTAAATTTCGTCTTTTTCCCTTTTCTGGCATTTACCTAGTAGATTCAACTTTTGAAAAATCTTTTAACGATAATAAAAGTAAATATTAAAATACTCATTCCTTTTCTTTTCATTGCAACGTACTATAAATTCACGCCCTTATAATGTAAAATCAACTGAAACAGAGAAAAAAATAGTAGCTTGATTATATTTTATGGAAATAAGTAATACTTAGAAGAATGTGTAAGGGAAAATATAAATGCATGTTTAATCAATCACTAAAATTATTTTAATAAATGTTTCCTAACTCTCAAAAGAAAATGCAGTACAAACAGAATTCTAAAAAATAGCCAAATGAGAAAAAAAATGAGAACTAAGTTTTAAACACAGAGAATCATGGGACCATGAAATTTAGCTTTCAAACTGAAGTGATTATGGTATAGTTTTTGAATTCATTTATATATCAATCATGGTCGCCTAAAAAGGCTAGTAATTTAGAAATTCGGTTTTTAGAAGTTATTATGCAGAAATATCTTGGTGATCACTGTAATTCTACAATGTTATGCTATCTTTATAAATAATAATCATGAAGCCACCACATTGCTTGCACTATTCGGTCCTAAAACTCCACGTTTATCATGAAATCTGATATATGTAAATTCTTTTCCAGGCCCAAAACTATGCAGCATGCTCTTCATACCACTTCGAATGCCAAAACGTCTGAACCACGACGCACAAGTGCCACTTCCGAACACCCAATTCTCAGTCAGGCGTCTGTTGAGAATTGCATTCTGTGCCCTTGCCATGAACCTATTAAAGACTGGGTTGCATCATCAATGTCAACTTCACAAGAAAAACTGTTCGGATCGCAAGAATGCGCTTGTTGGAACAAACTTTCTATGTCTGTTAGGAGTGAAGTAGACATAAGGCTTATGAACGGTAGAAAAAGTGCTAGTGCCAACCCCTCTCCAAATTCATCTCCTAAGAAAACAAAGTACAATTCCTTAAGGCCAAGCAATAATGCTGCTTTCGACTGTGACCCGACATGCACGTGTGGGAAAACGGATCCATATGCGAATTATTCGATTCCTAGATCTGCATTAGTGAACCAAAAGGTGAGTAAAGCATGATATATCTGCATGAATACTAAATTCGACTTTTTTTGCATGCATGTCAAATCAAATGCTTTCTAGATGCTCGAATTTCTTGGCAAGAGACAGCTTATATCTTCAACAGCTGGTAAATGGTCTTGCATCCACCAACTGCTCAAGACATTTAGCAAACTATCTAGGATTTCCGAAGTATGAAACACCGCAAGTCTTAAGTATGGAAGAATGCGTTAATTTCTTATGAAATGAGCATTGTTTAAATTTCTGAAGAGGCTCTTAATACATTTATTACACCGAACTTTTATTCTTTTTTTTAAAATTTCGGTCCTTAATTCTGTTATAATGAGCAAAACGATATTATTGTGAAGCCTAACAAGGATCGAATCAAACTTAAATTTATGATTGAAAGAAGTAGAGCTTAATGGATTGTAAATGATTCTGCTTAATTCCTTTATATCTAAAACTATATTAATTATTATATCCATTTTAATTTTAATAATTATTGATAATTCCATGAACCGATTTAAAATCTTCGCAACAAATAAACTACAGAACTGATTCACATTTCATTGCACTCAAATAGAAATGAATTTACCAAATGTTATTATCATATATCACAAATCTTGCATGTTTCCACAGTTGATGATACAATATATGATATAAAGCATTTCGACCCACACATCTGCCAGTATATCATGATTTGTCGGAGCCACAGCATTGGAGATATAGTCGCAAAGATCTTGGACGTAAGTGGAGAGCAGACGTTCAAAGCATTTTTGACAAATACCACAAAGAAAGGTAGCATCGAATTAATTAGGTCCAGAAATTTGAGAGCGTTTTTCTCCTTGCCCTGTGCATGCCAGTAAGGTGGATAAAGATGCATAGGATTTTGATTGATTATTCTGTGCATCCTTGGCATCAGGTAATCATGAATGCCATAAGCTGAGATAATCACCATTAGTCATCTTTCTAATATGTCAAAGTAAATCCTCCCAGTGCGTAATATATGCCTGCTTAATCGGAAAAAAAGGGACGCAAAGAGCGTTTGCAAAACGTGAACAAAATAAACATTAAATTATTTGCTTCTATATCCCTGTAATAAAATTTTGTAACTGTGTTATGTAACAATCAGGTTTCAAAGAATGTTAAATAAGTCTGTCTGGATTTCAGGAAACAATAGGCAAGTAATATTTTGTGACAGGCGGCTAGAAAATAGATAAAGAAAAGTATCAGAATAAAATATTTTCTTTTATAATATTTCATAGCATGATAAGAGAAATACTTCTGTCGCTCCAATGTTTTGTATCCAAAGAATTGTTTATAATAAAAGCCGCTAAATGAGCAGAAAAATCTGAAAGTCTTTCAGTTGGAACAATTGCTATGGTTCTATGGTTTCCGATTCCTTTAATGAGAAGTTTTAAAAAAATTACGCTACGACTCTCTTTCTTTGGCCTAGACTATTGTCAAGTAGAAGTTCTCATAGTGTATAAATTTAATGAACTTTTACATCCTGTGAAGATGTTCAAAAGGATTCTATTTAAGACACAATAACACGCCGAATAAATACTAATTCAGAAGTCAAACAACAGTTTTTGTTGTTTGACTTCTGAATTAGGATTCTATTTGTCAACTTAATTAGCATGTGTAACAATCTTTTATAACTGTAATAACCCCGTGGACACCTCTTTAGTATTATTTTTACAGTTCATTATAACATTGAGCTCCTGGTATTTATTATATTTATCTGTTATTTATGTTACACTAAAACAGATGTCCCATTTACTCTGTGAATTTAAAATTGTATTGAAACTATATGGTAATCTCTTTGTCCTAAATCATTATCTTTAATAAATACTGGATGCGGGTGTACGATGGGATTGCACAAAGTACCGTAATAAGTGGACTCTAAATCCTTTGGAAAGCTTCAACTCTTCACTTACTCAACCTTTTCTTTGTAAATTCTTATAAAACGTGCAAATTTTTAATAGTTAGTTAGTATGGAAAAGCATTACATGTCTACCCATGGTACATCGCAGGTGTCCCCTCCATACTTTTTTACCTGTACATATCGCTATAATGAGCTAAATCGTCTCAGAGCCTTTTAGGCTTGACGGAAAGGAAAGAATGTTGTTGGAAAGAAAATGTTCCTTGGTGAGGGATTATCGCAACAGCTAGAAAGTCTGAAATCCAGAAAAGTTGAAATATATAGAAAACCAATTCCTTATATGATCTTAGAAAAGCTTTAACTGAAAAACGTGCAGTTAATTAAGTAAGTAGCCATTTAAATGTTTAGATTGCTTTTAGACTTCGTAAATAAATAAAATGCAGACAGACTGTCTCGATCGCATCATTTATTGAGTCGTTTCGTCTGACTCACTGGATAAACTGATTCTTCTTTTGTATGCCATATTTTGGACTTGACATCATTTCAATGATTTAGTAACGTCTCTATTGACGTATAATAATGTAAAAATTTAATGAAATAATAAAGGAATATTTGTAAATTCTGCGCTTATATTGATTATCTGTCTACCATAGTAACTTGCTTTTAATCATGATCGAAAATGGGTGGAATATAGAATGGTTGAGCTAAAGATAAAAAATCAACTTAATGCTCAATATTAATTTGTTCATTTCTGAAAGAAATTCAAAATCATGTACATCAGTTCAAACATTTGTTCGTAAAATTGTTCCACACAACATCGCTGCAAGTTTATTTGCTAAGAAATTTTGAATTAATTTTTTACGGTCTTTCAAATATCTGTGTATATGTTAAATTTGAGGTATGACACTCTTGAGATGTTTTATCTGTACCCATATACAACTGAAAATAAAATAAAGAAACAGTCAATGAAATAATCGATATGAATAGGAGTAAATTGTTTTCTGTGGGTAGAACACTCTTCGTATAAAAGAGTGTTATATATACTGGTGAACAAAATTAAGCGATGGAACAATTTTCCCAAGTATATCGAGAAATATTGGATAGAAATAAATGAAATTAGGTAAAATTATAGTTCACTGTATGACAATATTGTGTACAAAGTAACTGAAACTAACACTGAAAATGCTATTCCTTAGCATGTGTTACTGCCAAGTGGTGTGTGCTTGCGTTGTGATCATGTGTATGGTGTTTGGTCACCTCTGACAGACAGGCAGAACGAGTAGCAAGAGAGTTCACGAGTGCCTGTAAAAGTCTCACCCACTCCTACACCAAAACTGTTTTTAACTCCTGAATGTTTCTGAGTGGGATTCGATGTACAGCAGTAGTTCTCCCAAGAACATCCCAAACGTGTTCAATAGGATTAAGGTTAGAAACTTTGAATGGCCAAATCAATTCGGTGAATATCTTCACTTTTCAGTTAGTCATCAACCAGGTGGCCCTATGTGGTCGTGCATTGTCGTCTGTAAAAATGAACTCAGGGCCAACTGCAGCCCTTAAACGTCGCACTTAGGGCTATAGGATCTCCTACCTGTACCTCTCTGCATTCATGGGACCAGTGCGAAATACACGGAGCAGTGTGCGAGTATCTTGCATGATCCATGTCTAAACCATCACTCCTTCACCACCATATTAGTCCCTTTCCATATTGTTTTTGGGATAGTATAGGGTTCCAGGTTATCTTTATATCAATAATCGCCAAGAATCAGGTTACAGACTGAATCTAGACTCATCCGTGAATAGAAAATTAGCCCACTAAAGATGTTCAGTGCTGTTGCCGTATGCACCATTGTAAATGGTCTCTTTTGTAGGAGTGATTGAGTGTGATGCAATATAGCGGGCTTTCTTGCATAAAGTCCTGTGTCACAGAGCCTTCTGGCAACTATCTTCCTGAAACTGATGTTCCTGTGGCAGTAGTGAGGCCAAGAGACAGTTATGTGTCTGAAGGTGTCCTCTGGCGCTTGGCTGAAAATACCAAATACCCGTCATCATTGGTAGTTGCGGCTCTTGAGCAGCCTTGTCCCGGTCCTGTGAACACTGGCCCGCTGTTTTCTAACTCATTCCACAAATTAAGGACACTTGGTGTTACATTCAGTTCTCATGCAACCTAAGCTTAGGACTGCGTTGCCTGAAACCTATGCACGATTATCCATCTGATACCTACGTCTAAGTGACGACGTAGACTCTTTTCATCTAAAAAATAGAAAAACCCAACAAGTTATTCAATAAAGACAATAAAAACCAGTACTGTGTTGCAGAGCGGAATGAGGTGAGCAGCTGGAAGCAGACTTTTTTACCTCCTGCTGGCGTAGACGCCAACATGAATACGCAAACTTATCTTAGTGACACCAGTGTCGCAGTGACAGTATATGGCAACCAACTGTCCAGACTTTGTGTGGTATTTTAGGAGAAATGTGGGGAAATGTTTTCCATCTCTTAATTTTGTCCACCAGTGTATATAACGCAATTATCTTTATCATTTCACGAACCAGGAATTGTTTTAAAGCATAGAGGAGTATTTATTAATTTGCGTTTACTTCTGATTTCTTATTAGATTAATTTTGGGATAAATATTGATTTAACAAATTTCAAGAAAAGGTTGTATTAAAGTGCTTTATCTTTAAAACTTATAAAATGATTTTTCGCTTCTAGGAAGTACCAGTAGCTTCTGCACAGGCAAATGGAAACAAAGATGCCAAAACTCATGTACCTGCTATTCCTTCAGAGGATTATGACGTTCCTAAGAAATACACGGTGAGAAAATTTGATTTTTTAGTGTTTTATATTTACGGTCGAAGTTTTGAGTCGGACATGAAAGCGAATTTTTTGCGAAATCAGTTTAAATTTTGTTCTGCTAAATTTTACCTCACTTTCACAGAAACTGAAATGAACTCAGGGACATATATAAAAGATCTCATATATAAAAGATTATTTTGCTTTTATTTTTCTTATGTAAGTAAATATATTTCTTAAATATCTTGACAATGACAATTATTAAAACCCATCGAAATATATACATCCTGTATACATATAGTTTATTTTTAGCTCAAAAGAACGTTAGCCCAAATGGCCAATTCAGTCTCGAAACTGCATTTTGCGTCTTCGACTTTAAACTTCTGCATCATTTCGGATTTTTGCCACCAAATATTACCTCCTTGTATTATTTTTAAAGAAATTAAATAATGAATCTACATTTATGCATGTATGTGTATTCTCTGCCTCGTAAAAAGTAACGATGGTACTTAAGCCATTAAATTTCAAATAAGGTAGGCTTTCACCCGAACTGGAAACCCGAGTTTTGAATTTCCATTTCTATATTTCATATTTTCTAAAACTAACGAATTAACGAATTTTTTCTGATTTTTTTTTTGGGGGGGGGCTTGTTTTGTAAATGTTCATAATTGTTTTTATATATCTTTGTTTTGGTATCAATCATAGAGTAAAATGCGCTATGATTGTAAGTGCAGTGGTATAATAAATGCAATTAAATTATTTTCTTTCTGTTTTGCTTTCCAACTATGGTAATGATAATGATACAGATAATTTTTTAATGTTTCAGTTTTTAAAATGATTATTAGTATTTCTGTAATACAGCTTGTGATTATGTCTCGAGTATATATAAAATAAAATAAAGTCGATGTATTCTTAACTCATATGTCTGCCGTACCCGTAAAAAAGTTAAAATTAATCTCTAGAAATCACCAGAGTATAACTCTAACGCTACCAACTTTTTGACATTGAAGAAACTTCGTCCTAGATGCTTACTGATTCCAGCAAATAGATTTGGCATCCTGGAAATATGAAAAACGTTGTCGTATGAGAGAAATATTTATTGCAAGCCTACTGGGCTAACATTCTAATAGATCATAATTAATATAATCGTTTTAAATGTGATGTTATATGATGTGTTCACAGATTCATTCCTTTTCTCCCTTTTACGAGATACTCTCAAATACCCTCAAACCTGAAGTGAAAAAGGAAATAAACTTGCTACATGTAGTTTATGTATAATATAACAAAATATGTTTTATAACAATGAAAGGACTTCGTTTTTCAGAGTAAATTTTATGATAGCTATTTGAATATATATTTTTAAAGAATTAGAATCAATTTTAAAAATGTATTTTATTTTCTTGCAGGATTTACTTTCTAACTGTGATATGAACCAGAAAGCCTCAGCAATGAAAACTGTTACAAACGGTCCTTCCTGTTCCTGCATGAGCGCTTGTAAAATTGTTCAAAATATCGAGCTCTTCAAAATGGCTTCCAAGCATTCCTACAACTATCAACATGGGTCTCTTAACCCTCCTTCTGCAGACGCATTGCAGATGTGTGCGTGCCAGAGAGTTATGCTATGGGCTGGTAGTTTAGTACCTTGTCTAGGACCTCAAAGAGCTACAGTCGATTCTGGGTGGCAATACTCTAAGTCTCTGAACTCTGATAACAAAAGCTGTGCCAGAGCATGGTTCGATCACTCAGTAACTGTGTGTAATGAACCTCACAAAACAGCAGAAATTGTAATGATGAACGGGAAATTAAAGCATGTTCTTCGTGGAACAAGTACAGAATCAAGTGCCGATGAAAATCGAATGCCACCTTTTGCGAGACCACGCTCAAGCACTATATCATATCCTTTACTCCCAAGTCGAAATTCAAGCGACTCCACAGTATTCAACTATGCAAACATTGAATTTTCCCAAGAGACGAACGATAAAATTGTTAAAGTGAGTGAAGATGCTTCTTCTTCTACCAATTACGCTAATATAGAATTCGCAGAGACACTGTCTCTCTATGAAAATTCAAACGTAGTTTTATCTCGTTTGGAAACAGATGAGAAAAACACTGAACCTGTTTATCCAGATAAACCTCCTTTACCCCCTAGATCTCAAATGCCCACTTCTAAAAAAAGCTCTGAAAATGTGAATCATAGTGATCTGAAGGATCGGTGCAATTGTAAACAATACTGTATACGTCGAAGCCCAAAGAAAGCAACACTAAAGCAAGTTAATGGCAGTGCGTATGAAATGATGTGCTATCAGAAACCTCCGGAATCTACCCAAGATGATGACGATTACTTAATGATGCAACCGTTATGTGCAAAAACGGAGAATTCCTCCTCTCCATCTAAACAATCTCTTGAGTCTCAAAATCTGCAATCTGCTTCAAATGCGTTGGGGAAGCAAAACGAAGAGAATGAAGCTGAACAGGGCATAGAACCAACACTCCCTCTCAGACCTTTCATGCCATATTCTTATCCTAGCGTAGAAATGAATGATTCGAACGACCAGGATGGAATCTGCGTAGAATCTTTATCCAGAAAGAACCAGCTTATAAACGATGAGTTGCATTTTAGATCTATGAGATCTAACTCTCTAAGTGAACTCAAAAAGAAAGTGCTTATGAGAAAACGTTCAAGCTCTGTAGATGGTAAAAATAATGGCTATCATCATAATGAACCTGGTATGGAAGTAGAATCTGTTCCAGCGTCTCCTGTTTGTAGTCCAAGACCTGTTCAGCGTAAAAACTCTTTGTTTTCTAAATTGAACCTTAGGTCAAAAGAAAAGTCTATGAGCACCAATGAAATAACGCCTCCCATTCCTATATCAAGTTGCAATTCTTCCATTCTTAATAATATGCATAAAAGTGGTCTTCACCGTTCAGCTGACTGTCTAAAGCTTAACGAAGATTACGTGAATTCTGATGATGACTTGAATTCTGATACGAGTGATTTCAGTATACAAAAGGAATCTTCGTCACCATCTTCTATGAAACGTTCATCGAGTGTACCATGTAGAGCGGGTATGCCAAATGTTTGCAGTTCAAGCCCGGTTAAAACTAATGGCACTATTATGGAACTGAATGATTTAAATAAAGATAGTTCAACTGTTACAATAACTGAAAATGACGAAAATTGTGAAGAGCTTGGACATAGGAAATACAGTTTAGACAGCCATGAAAGGCCAAAGCAAAAAGTCAGATCCAACTGTGATAACGTGTACAGACAAGAATGCTTAGATGAATGTGATACAGTTATGGAATTGCAAGGTAAATTTTTGGTATTCATTTTGATTGTTTTATTATATTTTTAATTTCGTTTTTATGCATATTTTCGTTTGCATTCTATTCATATAAAAAATCTTTGCAGTATATTTATATTTTTTTAATAATTATATGTTAGTATCCAAGAATTTACCCCTTATATGTTCCAAAACGTACCGCGGATACGTGAAATTGCAGGTAATAACAAATGCTACAGTAGTGACCAAAATTGTGGACACTTTTGGAAATTTTTATGTTTTTGAACTTTGTATGCTTATAGAAAATGTTACGTTTCGCAAAATGCAAACTTGTATATATCATTTTAAAGAGAACTTATTACTGAATTCAATACAAAACACAAAATTCAATTATTTTCGATACCAAAAAAGTTATATGTACTTTAATATAAATAAAAAACACAGTTATAAAGTGGTTTGTAATGTCTAGCTTTCCTGGCCAATCACTGTTCTTGTTCTGAGAACCAATCAAATGTTAGTAACTGCCAGTAGAAGCTGACATCATGTTTACACTTGAAATAATTTATTATTCTGCTTTGTTCTGTAGAAGCAGGACCTGTTTCTTACACACTGCAATTACAAGTAGGATTTTTTGTAAAAATTTTTAATATTTCATTTTAATATTAAAGAAGCAATGACATCAAATAAAAGAGTAGATTGGACACTTAGAAAGAGATGTAATATTATTGTGTTACGAGAAAGTGGTCTTTCCTGTGCTGAAATTGCAAGACAGGTGGGTGGTTCACTGACTACACCTGGAGTCCGAAAGTTTTGTTTACGATATCAGGAGACAAATTCAATAAAAAACAAAGAAGGAAAAGGCCGAAAAAGGCGCACCACATCTATTGATGACAGAAGAATAAAAAAGACTGTCTCCAAGATAGAAAAATGTCATCAGCGACCATCAGAAGTGATCTGAATGATGCTGGTGTTTCCATCAGTTCAAGAACAATCAGGAGAGGATTAACAGATGTCGGACTGAGAGGTAGAATTCCACGAAAAAAGCCTTATCTTAATTTTCAGCAACGAAAAAAAAGACTAGGGGCAAGGAACATTTGGACAGATATCAGTGGCCAAGTTATATGATGATGAAACTAAAAACCCTGAAGTTATCAAGTGTTATGTAGAGAAATTACCGGATAGCGTTGTAAAAATTAGGTGAATGATTTTCTGATTTATGGAAATTTAATTTTTTATTTTGATTCTGAATTATTTATTTTAAGGCTTTAATTTTGGGGAAAAACAGATGCTTCTGGAAATATTATTTAGTTTAAATGAATATTATTTATTTTCTTTTATTTGCAAATCTTGTACAAACTTTTATTCATTGTGAAAGAAGCAGGGAAAGGGAGGCAATTTTCGCCAAGTCATGATTTCGCGCGCCTTTAGAATGTTCGAGAAAGAATTTTCATTGTTAGTTGACCTTAAGAGAGGAAAGTACGTGACGGAAAGGTCAAAGGTTGCTACTTGTCTTTCAATGTAAGTCATTCAGGTTTTTGGCGATTGAGGGTCCGGTTGTTGGCTAAGTGAAGAAGGGCGCGCATGCGCGATCACCCTTATTTCCGCATTCTGGAGTTGAAAACGAAGATTTTGCCATAATTAAGGGGGCGATAAGTGAAGCCATAGTGGGAGCCCGTTTGTGAAAGGAGACGAAGAAAATTCGAGCGAGACACACTTACTTTTGGCTGACTCTCGGACTGACTCGCTGATTTTTGGGCTTGCTGGACAAAATGTAAGTGACTCCGAGAGGTGTTTTCCGGCGGGGAGCGGCAAATATGCTCCCCGGCCGCGTTTTGGTTAAGAGGCGAGACTCTCTTACACACTTACTCTTGGACTCGCTGACTTTCGGGTTTGCTGGACTTGTGGACGTTGCTCTTGAAAACTGGCTTGAAGAAAATTGGAGTTGGATTCTCTCCCTTACTGACTGGTGGGTGGAACTTACTTGGGACGTTACCCGTGAAGCTTGCTCTTGGGATGAGTAAGAACAGGCGAGCAGTAATTTCCTAGCAACAAACGGTTTCTGACCGTGCTGAAATTTGAACGAGTTACCTGCGTGTTGACATAGGACTTTCAGGACCAAGCGGATAGCCGTCCTGGGCAGCAGTGCTCCTGTTTCTGTTCTACAGTAGTGAAGTGGAGTCTACATTTTTAGAACCAGTGTCAAGATGAGCCCGGCCGACATCAACGCTTGATAAGATATGAGTCCTCCGCTTCAAGATGTCCCTTCAAGATAAGTTTTATTTTTTTTTTTTTTTTGGTGTGTTTGAACTTTAGGCAAGCTTTTTCAAAAACGTCCTTAGCAGTAAAAAAAAAAAAAAAACGTCGAATCTAAAATTTAACTCTCAGGCCATAAATTGTTTCCCTTTCCTTTCTTTTAAATCACCAGACAAACCTTAAGTTTTTTTTATGAATTTAAATGAACAGACTCTCAGATGAGGTTAAGATTTTTCTTATTGTGTTGTAATTGAATAAACTGATATTTAATCTGGAACCTCTTACAGTATGTTTTCTTTATATATTTAATATGAACTTTTCCTTTATATCTTGTATATGTTTTATGTTTTCGATCCTCTCACGGCGCGGTCCCGGAATGCATTTTTTTCACAACGCAAAAATGCTGTACACACGTTTCACTATACGATCACTCCCTTTAACGGCAAGTAGTTTTCATATTTAACATTTAACATATAGGAATTTCAGATATAACATGGTACCTAGAAGTAAACTATTTAACCTGGTTTCGAAACTTTCTCTTCATAACATTGGTGCGTGACCTCTTAACATTGGTGCCGTGACCTCTGCTTAGTGAAGGATCGAATCAGTAACTGATTTTGTGAATTTATTTATTTTGTATAACTTACTGTTTTAAGAAGGAGTTAAATTTTAGGTGCTAGGATTAATTAGAGTTTTGATTTGTGTTTGCTTATTTGTTAATACGAGAGTGATAAAGTTTTGAAAATGTGTGTGAATTTCAGGAATTTTGGACTTTAACGTTAGGCAAACAGAATTGAACTTTAAAATTAGGAAAATATATATTTTTTAATGTAGCAGAATAGGTACTGTACATTTTTACTGTTGAAAATCCTTGAGTGTTTTCTGGATGTGTATTTTTGATTTTCGACGTACTGATTTATGATACAAGATGGAAAATGAATTATTTCACGATAATCCTATGCTATTTGTGTATCCTTGTATAAAGTTTCGAGTGCTTGTCGGTTAAAAACTGGACTCATTTTTTGAGCACTTCTAAGAGAAAGAGACTTAAAGACTCTAATTATTTTACTGAATGAGACAAGCCATAGCTATGCGTAGCTAGAAATTTTTTTTGTGTTGTGTTTTTTGCTAATTATTTAACCTAGAATCTTGTGAAATGTGTAATTGTGAGGGGTAACGTTAGAGAAATTTTGATTGTTTTGACTTAATGGAAAAATATTTTGTGAAATGTATGTAATGTTTTCATGATTCTCTAGCGTAGTATATTATTGCTTTTTGATTTACAATGTTTTGATATGATTCCAGTATATTGTGCAATGTGTTAGTAAAATTCAATTTAGTATTGAGCAATGAATTTTATAAGTTCTTAAGGCATAATGATACAAATGAATGAGTTAAAAAAATTGAAGATTGTTTTTCAATTGCAAAATTCTGTTTTAAAGTTAACATGGGTTAGATTTGAATTTTTGCCTGAGATCAGCAATAGTGATGTTTGCATATTTAATTTTTTTTTTGGATTGAATTCTTCAGCTTGAGTGAAGTTCTAATTAGTTTAATGAGTCAGAGTAATTGAGATTAGTTATCTTCTGAGTTTAAGTTTGTGAAGAGTTGTCATGTGAGAATTGTTTAAACAGTAGAAATTTAGTCTTGTGAATTGTAGAAAGTGAATTTTAATGAGAATTTTGGTGACAACGGGAATTTGGTTTGTGGAAATTTTTAAATAAGTTTGAGAAGATTAGTTACTTTTGCTCTGTACTCATGTGTGGGAATTTTCTGTTGATTACAAGTAGTTTGTCTTGAATTTGCTAGTGAATCGTAATAGATTTGATTTGAGTTATTGAATTTTCTTTCTTGGTTGGACTTGTTGCTGAATTTGGGGTTAATTCTTGTTTTGGCTTAAGTTTTGTATTTGAATTGGTAGTATCAAGATAGTTGTATCAGGTTTTTGTTTTGTTTTGGTGGTTTCTGCCAAGGTCCGTAAAATGTAAGTTCTCTGATGTTTAGTTTCTGTGGAAGAATTGAGATTTCTGTGGTCATAGGAAAATAGTAGAATTTGAGTTATGGATTTCATTTGTGTGATTTTTTAGGGGATTTTTGAGTTACGAGTTTATGAGTATTTTTTTTTAGTTTAGCACTTTTGAGAACTTTGCATTTGTTGCTTGCAGTTAGGTCTTGCGTGAAGTTGTAATGTCCTGAAAGCTCGTTTTCTTGTAAATACTTGCACTTCATGGTGGCACTTGACCTCTTACACCGGGGCAAACAGGAACTTGTTATCTGAGAAAACTATTGTTGTATCTTTTTTTCATTGTGTTGGTTCAGACTGGTAACGTTTCAGTCAGCGCACTTTTCTTTCCGAGATAAGAGATCTTATGTTCTCTTTCAACGTGTCTGGAGGTTTGCTTGATACGTAAAGTTTGGGTCTGTCATTCATAATACAGCGCTTTTCTCAGCTTACATGGACGCGGTAAAGAGTTACTTTGTTTCTTTTGTTTGGGTGGAGGTGTTGCTGAAAGCTGCTACTTAGGTTACTATACAACATTTTGGAAGAGTCTGATGCAGAATAGATCTCAGTTTTTGCCTAAAATTGGTGGGTTTGTTTGAACACTTTTTGATTTGTGATATTTTATTTAGTGTTCTAGTAACGTGCTTCAGTCCAGCTTTGATTGATTTCTTTGACTAGTTGAAATTTTTTTTGTGGGCCTAATGGATTTTTAGAATTACTGAAATTTTTATTGTCTTACTAAGGGGACTTAAGTTTGGTGTGGTTTACTCACT